CTGATACTCAGGTTAGTATTCGAGCCTTTTTAATGGCGTCTCTATTGTGACTGATGATTGACCATGAAGCACAGTTAGGGTAAAAAAACCGAAGTAGCAAAAAAAAACCAACGACTTTCGGTGGAGCGTTGACTGATTTTTCCCCATATTAAAGCATCACGATCCCGCAGCGAGAATCGAACCCTGATCTCTGAGATCAAAGACGCTTCATCTGGCGATTCCGCCACCGAAGCCCGATGTAAACATTGTATACATTTTGGAATATCACAGTACAATATTGCTCTATACCTGGTATGCATTTAGGGATATCACAGTACTCCCATCTCTTGTTCCTATCTGTAGTAAAACACCAAGGTCGTTGTCCTGAGTTCTGAAGGTTTCGACAATAATTCTCAGCATTATTTAGTTCTGGATATGTTTTGTTCATGGTATGACGATGTGGACATTGTTCTGTCCATGATTGACACAGAATACCTGAGAGTGTCACTGAAATGTTGCCATGGTTACTGCTGCCGTCTAAGTACAGACAATCTACAAGAAAAGTAGTAATCAAACTGACAGACAGATTGAGAGACTAAAGGACCGACCTACTACTAACCAACCGATCGACTGGCTAACTGACCGAGCGAATGACTGGTTGACTTAATTAAAGTGATTCATCAGTTTTGCATTGCCCACTTTTACTGGGCGTATCGAATGACAAATTCTAGCTAATATTATACCTCAAATTCAAATTGTCCAATGAAAAAATATCATTTGTACAACGTGACAAAGTGACTTTTTGCGGTATTTCACTCAAATTAATGATTTCGAAATGCAGCGCGAGATACTATAATATCCGACAGTAGATCCACCGTATGATATTATAGTATCTCACGCTCACGCGTGACGCGTGGACACCACGCTGTGAAACAATATGGCGATCGCGAGTGGTTGTTTGTAATTTAATACAGAAGATTTATTGATTTAGCCATGGATAATAAAATACATGGATAGGAAACTAGCTGACGCGACCTAATGTTTTCAATGTGCTGATTGCGTTGAAACCTAGTTGCAAACCAAATTCTCAAAAACGGCATGTTTAGGGATAATACAGCTAAACATTTTAGTCAAAGAACAAATAAATGTAACTAGGCCATTCTACGATAAAGTCTCTAAGTATTTCCAGTCAATTTTAGCAAATATTTCAAGCACTAAACAGTGAAAAATGCATCACAAATTTCGTTAAAATACAACACAAAGACGAAAAATATTTACCTTGAATACTTTGTCGTGGCTTAGGCATGTTTTTAAAAAAACAATGTAAAAAAAATACAACACAAAGACGAAAAACATTTACCTTGAATACTTTGTCGTGGCTTTGGCATGTTTTGAGAAAACAATTAGACCAGTTTATGCTTCAATATTACTCTTTTGAAGCGGAAAATATAGCGAAGCAACAAAAATGCCGAGAACTTCGGCAATACACGTGACGTCAGAGATTGCAACTAGGTTTAGCCTGTGACCTCAGGAAGTTTCCTATCCAGTTATTTTACAATCCATGATTTAACCAAAGATTTTCAAAACGTATGTTACTTTCAATGATCCAAAGGCAAAGAATATATGCTCAAATATTTTAAAAAGAAAACGTCAAAAACACAGGTGTACATAAGAAATTAAAAATTCTATTCGCTTTATAGTTTTAAAGTTTATTCTGAACTTAGTGGGTTCTTTAACTTTCGGGATAATATATCATTTATAGCTACACCTCCCGTCGAAACATTACCCTCAGTAAGAGTTAGATACCGAAAACGGAGGCTCTTAGTCAGATACAAACCCGAGGGGCCGTAGGCCCCGAGGGATTTATCTGACTAAGAGCCTCGGTTTTCGGTATCTAACTAACTTAGTTCATATTTGTAAGGATTGACCCACAATGAAATTTACTTTATGATATGTATTGTTCTTTAAATGAGTTTGAATTACCATGGTTGTAATAAAAACAAACAGGGCTTTCGCATTTGACATGCATCAATTCTCGTGTCGCACTACTGTATACTATCAGTGAGAAGTGATTAAATATTCGTTCACCAACCACAATTACGATGCAATATGTTTGAAATAGCTCATACAACCGAGAAACGCTAACGAAGATTTGTACGGGTTTGTCGAAGCAGAGATTCTCAAGTTGTTCTCAACAGGGTTTTATAAAAAGGATAAAAACCGAATGGGAGGTCTTGAATTTCAATAAAAGACCTCCCATGAGGTTTTTATGTTGTTTATATACCTATCATACCCATTTTCTATTGTCCTCGGGAGGTTGTGATTCTTGGACGAAATAAGGTTGAACATGCGCTTTAAACACGCTTTAATGTGGTTGAGCATGCGTAGTATATCATTTCGCGTCCCACAAGTGAAAGAGCAGATATTACTGTATAAATTCCTTGCACAAGCACGTTTGATAGTTGGTTCAGCTAGTCCTCGTGCACCGAATGATAAATACTCTACCCAAAGGTAGAGTTTGACGGGCTCTTTGAGGTACACGGCTGTTGTCTCTTTCTCGACTCAGAGACGTGCAGTGTTTTCTAGTCGAAAAGGAGATGTGGGGTTTGAGTTTGTTACAAATTCAAGGTATCTAACTCCATAGTGACCTCTAAAAGGGGTCACTATGGAGTTAGATACCTTGCATTTTTAATTAGGCATTCAATTCTATTCATCAACCCCGCTTTTCCCTGTGAAGATATCAAATCCCTCCCCTTGCTTTTAGATTCTTACCCAAATAAAACCCTATTGAGAACAATAGATAGCCGCACAAATATGAACTAAGTGATGATATTTCCCTCGGGGCAATATCATCACTTCGGGTAATATTCCGCCGAATCCCCCTCGTTTCGGGTCTAAAAATGATAAATATATGTAGTCAAACTGCAAATTGAAATGATAAATAAAGGGAAAGGGCTAACAGAAAACACTCTGCATTGATTAGCTATAGGCGTAGAATGACACAACTCTGGCTATAAGCTTTTGAACTAACATTCTAAACTACATCATGTTGCATGTTTAGCCCTTGTATTTCTTTAAGAAGGTTTGTGACCCTACTTTTCTACTTTTCAGGCCCTAATTTGAAATAGGGCCTGACACAAAACCTCTCTAGACCGTGGGACGCCCACATGTTATTTTTAGACACAGCATGCAATATGATTGACAAGTGTTGTAGATTTCATTACACAAAAAAATTATATTCTCATGAACTCTCGTCCACAGAGAGTGCATTTTGCTTTTTAATTAAACTTAAAAATTCAAGGTACTTTTATATCTTAAGAGTCAGTTTCTCTATTTAACCGAACTGCAAACAAAAATTTAATTAATCAGTTCTGTGCACGGTTTGACTTCCAGACTTTCTCAAGGTCTCAACTTGCTGGACGCGGCTAACAACAGCAACAATGAAATTCTCAATCGTACGGAAGAAGGCGATATAGCTCAGAAAACAACGCCGGTAAGACCTGATATTAAAAATAAGACTTTTGCCGGAGAAGCCAGTTGGCAGAACATCTTGGCTGTCAACAACAAGCTTTCAAATACATGACTAGTTTGGCTGTTCTTTCAACGTCGTGTGTCCAAAATTCGTCAAAGATTTTGAAAAAGCCCTTTCAAAATACTGTTTGTTTGATTTATTTTTTGCCATAAAGCATAAAAGAAAAGAGATGCGAAGAAATCGATAATGGAATTTGTTACGTGCGTTTGACCTTTTTATTATACTAGAAATACATGCATGCAATAACCCCTTGTCAATACTTTCCATACATTAAACATGAAGTATTCAGAAATGACCAGCACTGAACCAGGCTCGCGCTCAAGTGTTGCCATGACAACACGATATTGTTAAATACTTATTTTCATATATTTTGTACAAAACTGCAAAATAGTTGAAAGATTCGTACTTTTAACTATACAACAACAAATTTCCGAAATATATACTGTAGGTATATTATTTTGCATTGTGTGAGCTTTGATTTAATGTAAAATTTAGCTTGAAACGCTTCGTAAAATGTTTTGAAATGTTCATTCAAGTAAACTACATTTTGCCGTTAAACTGTTTTTACTTAACAAAGTTTAATACAAATAAAACAAATTGTTAGGTAATTTCAGTTCAGTCTTCAAATCAATTTATTCGCCTTTACATTTTAAGATTTTTTCTTAAATTAAAGAGTGATTTATGAAACTTAGAGCTTCTATAGTTCATGTTTTTTATTTCTAGGCCAGAAGTTAAAGCAACAAAATTCGTAAAAATTTTCAAAATATTCAAAGCAAACTTGCCGTATATTTCCCGATTTCCCGCAGTAAACCAATTCTTCTCATTTCTTCAAACAAAATTGCTTCAAGCTTGTTGTATATGAAACGATTTTCCAAATATTTTTAAAATTGAAATCTTGCTTGCCATATTTTTGAGATCAGTGAGGATGACCACCAACTCAAGATCGTTGATCGTTGGTGAGCGTCCGCGATGATTTATGAACTTTAGACTTCCCTAATGCTTTCGTTTCCCTGGGTGTAAATAGCCGGGGGGAATTACTACCCTCGTACGGTGCTTCGCGCAGTCGGCTCGGGGATTAATTGTCGCCTTGAGCCCTTGACCGAGCTATTTTTAAATCTGTTGTTTATGTGAACTTGCAGCCAATCAAAATCCTTCATGATGCTGATCAACCAATCAGATTTCCCGTCCACCAGATGGACGGGAATCCCACAGTTTAGATAGGTTGTGTGTCAGGTCCTATTCTGTGAATAGGGCCTGAGCTTCAGGTTAGATATGCGTTGAACCAATGGACAGGCCAAACTTACCTTCCTTTTCCAAACTTTCTTTCCTATTATAATAAATACACTCTGGAGTGTCCCCGGCATTTCTTGATAGTTTTTCAACACAATTGAACAATTCATCACTTGGTTTCCCTGCCAACAGTGTGGGTACGTAAGCAACTTTCCAAAACCTCACAAACGCACTGCATTCCTTTGTAAAATGGAGACACGACTCCTTGCAAATTTTCTTTGGTTTAAATACACTTGTGCTGCGATCGCAGCCTGGAAATGCATAGTAGCAGACAGGGAAACGAAATTGGTCAGTGCATTCGTGTGATGTTGAAAAATTTTGCCCTTCAACGAAATGTTCCTGCATCCCCCACAACTGGTCATTCAAAACTTGTTGGTCGCGCACTGACGCCTTGACGTATTTATCAAGTTTGAATCCGTAATGTTCACAAAATGGGTTGTCCAGTTTGATTAAAGGATGACAGTCACCCTGTTTGGTATTGTCAGGCTCATCTTCTGCTGGCATACATGAACTAAAAAGAGAAGGATATCGCGTAAAACAGCTGTGGATCCTGGATTATCTGAAAAGTACACTCTAAAAGCATTCGATCAGGTTAACATTTCCTATCTCATTAAAATTCCTGGTTATTTCATCTCACTTCTTACCATAGACTGGTTAATGTGGCCATATCTAGAAATCTGGTTATATTTGACAAGGAGGCGTTCTTATTAAATAAATGGTTAAATAACCAGAGGAAATTTATTAATGGTTAATCAATGTTTGTAAATCGGATAAAGATTTGTCCTGATTTACGTAAATTTCAGCTTTGATTCTCTCGTCTTGGACAATGTTTATTCTTAAAATTACTTCGTGAAGTTTATCTAACTACTCTCAGACCCGTATTGGAATATGCTGTTCCAATATGACAAGCGATCCCTGACTATTTAAGTGAAAGGATAGAATCAATACAGACAAGGGCATTTCGAATCATCTTCCCTTCCATAAACAATTATAACGAGGCGATGATGATGGTACTGTTATGTAAAAGATATATGACTAAAATGAAGAAGGAGGATCATCCCCTGCACTTTATGCTCCCAAAACATAAGATGAGCGAATGCAGGTATAGCCTACGAAATGGGTCCGACAATACTATTTTATTTAAGAACACAAACTAAATGCAAAACTTTAAGATCTGAACAATTTTTTTACATTTAAATAGAAATAGATAGAAATAAACATGGTGGTGGCCTTGTTGTTTACGTACGATCAAGCATTGTATTGACTAGACTCGCTCATCTCGAAACTGGAATGCTCGAAACAATTATATTTAAAGGTAGGTTACAGTCCCTTCTGCGCATGTCTGTGATTGTTTTTGCCAGGGGACTCCACCGGAAGTTGGGATCTCAGTTTATACTCGGTCCAGTCTCATTTCTGGCAATAACACGCGCGTTGTTTTTTTTCGCAAGCGAAGGAGTGAAGCCATAGTGAAGCTAAAAGTTTGCAAAATATATTGAGCTTTTTGAGCGACAATCCTTAAAATAACGAGTTTTTGAGGCAACACGACGTGTAGGAAAGAATACCACGCTAGCAGGGATGCTTCCAAAGTGTATCAAAGTGTATCTATTTTATTGTTTTCCTCGATGGAGAGCGTGTCATTTCTGTCTGCATTTCCCCATGATATACCTACATCCTCAAGCTTCTACTAAAGGTTTTCACGAAAAGAATCCAAGAAGGATTGGACATTTCACCCAACATAGCTGCTATTCACTCCCTTCACTGTGGATACTTCAGTGAAATCGCTTGTTGAAGCCCATCAATCGAGGTTTTAGCGACTATAAAATTTTCTTTATTTACCATTTTAAATTTTAATTATACACTATCGTCACATACGAACTGTTCTATCTCTTTTATTTACAAACTGAAACCCATATAATTAAGGCCTAAAGATATGATACTCATGAGTAGGAGTTGTCAATGAAAAAGTGTTAATGAGCAATTTGGAGTCAACATGTTTTGGATGGCTGTTTATAAAGTGTTTATTGTCAGAGTGATAAAAGTAGTAATATAGGGGCCGTTCGACCCGGATTTTTGCGGCGGTGGAGTGCGGCGGTGGAGTGTGGAGTGTGAGGTGGTGGAGTTTTGAGGTGGTGGGTGTCCACCACCTCATTTATAATTAATACTCGTACAATTGAGGAGGAGTAATGACGTCACTCATTAACATACGTCATAATTATATGCAATGACGTCACGCGGGCAGGTTTAAGCGCGATCGGGCGAAACTTGCTGACTACGCATTTTTTAGCGTCCCCCACGTTTATGATACAATAGTTAGATATATATAGAAGAGAAGATGTTGTTGTCTGGAGTTTTATAAGTACAGCTCTAGCATTTTGCTGTTATTGTCAAAACGCTGAGAAATAGCATTAGTGTTATATATCTAAACTTATATATTCGGGGTATACAGCTATATGTTTTGTTGTTAAGTAATATATAAATATTATCAAGCGTCAAAACGCTGAGAAATAGCATGCAGTAAAGAGTTATGTATCTACAATTAAACTAATATTTAAATCCCGGTCTGCCATATGAGGTCTATATACGAGAGAATATGTTGCTGTTTAGAGTGATATAAACACATGGAAGTTAGAGGTCATGATATATAATTGTCAAGCTAAAACTCGGATAAGGTTAATAAATTTAAGTTATATTAAAGCACACCGGTTGCTATGTGTTGTTAGGGTGAAACTAATTAAAGGATTAACTTTTATCAGTGATTTGCATTTTTCTACTGTGTGGATAAATACGGGTAGATTAGGATATTCATTGCGCGGGCGTCGCGGGTTATCCGTGCGGAAAGAGAGAAAGCGATTTAGACAAGACAGGAGCGCTTTGCAGCCAAAACTTGAAAGACTTTGTGTGAAATCCTGTAATGGTTGTCAAGTCGGTCATCCTAGTCAAAGACAACATAACCGCCTCATGATGAATGAAAACGAACGAGGGCAAATAAGGAATCTATTCGTCACAAAAATCATATTTTAAACATATTTTAGATATATTTTAAACTAAACAGTTTCTAATCCCGAGTTGTCAACGTCGTTGTTAAGGTCAATATTTACATGTTGTTCAACGTTATTTTAGCAAATATTCTACATACATATATACTGTTAAGATGATCATAAGTAAGCTTATCAAGAATATAAGTTAGAATTGGAACAGTTGTAAGATATTTTGCAATAAAAACATGTAATCGTTATATACGTTGTTATTTGTTGCTAAGTCATTAGCGACGCTTGCGTGCATGCATATATTAACGTACAACATATTTGTACACTGATCAGGCGGGCGGATCGCGCGGGCGGAAAGAGCGGGCTTTGCCGGCAAAAATTTACCCAATATTTCAGTTTTTAAATTTATTTCTTCAAAACGTTTTACAAAATTTAGTACGGTCTACTTCTAAGAGCATAACGTCTAGGAGTTTTTGTTATTTTTAAAGAGTTTTCATATTCTTGTCTATCTTCTGGGGATAACCTTGAAACATCTTCATTCTTCATTGGAATATATTTCGGCCTCTCGCGAAGTAATCTTT